GTTTAGGATTAGGGTTTAGGATTAGGATTAGGGTTTAGGTTTAGGGTTTAGGTTTAGGACTAGGGTTTAGGTTTAGGGTTTAGGGTTTAGGGTTTAGGGTTTAGGGTTTAGGGTTGAGGGTTTAGGATTAGGGTTTAGGTTTAGGGTTTAGGGTTGAGGGTTTAGGATTAGGGTTTAGGTTCAGGTTTAGGGTTTAGGATCAGGGTTTAGGTTTAGGGTTTAGGGTTGAGGGTTTAGGATTAGGGTTTAGGTTCAGGGTCTAGGGTTGAGGGTTTAGGATTAGGGTTTAGGGTTGAGGGTTTAATTAGGGTTCAACTATCCCATGAGCAAGGTTGTCATCCCAAGAATCCCTGATGCAAGTACCGAAAAGTCGGCAACAAGCGGATTTCGAAGTCTCTGGGGATGTCTAGGGTGAGATCAAAATAACTGGCGTTTGTTTCTGCTTCGGTGTCTGCGATGATGCCAGTTGCAAGTGGGCACTTCACATGGATCAACAACGAGTTCTTGGATTTCAGCATGCTTCAACTTTACAGTTGCAGTGTTTAGGTTCTAAGATGTTTGAGGGATTACTGAGTCGCGTCGCCGATAGGGTAGGGGCCCAAGAACTGGCCCCGACAAAAATGGAATTGATACTCAAGTCTCAGCACCTGCAAAGCTTTAAGTCCAGTTCCTCGGCATGCGAACAATTTGAAAAGGACACCCTGAGCGAAACCCTCAAACCAAAGATCCACATTATAAATCTCACCGATAATCCATGGCCCGAATTCTGGGGTATAACGTCCCTGCCAGAACCCAAAACCCAACACCCTCAAACCCTGGACCGCAAAACGCTAAACCCCAATGTGGCCCCAATTCCCCAAACATAGATCCCCCTAATTGAAGCCCTAAAGCCTTCAAGACCTATAACGAACCCTGCACAAAGATGAGGGCTCTTGCCCAGACCTTCCCATATCCCTTGATTAAGGAACATACTTTAAAATACGGTGGGGCCCGTCATACGATTTAAGGCATATTCCATAATTAAGCAATCTACCCCAAAATCCAGCAGGGCCCCTAATATGATTTAAGGCATATTCCACATATGAAGATATACCCGAAAACCCAGTACGGCCCCTGATATGGCTTAAGGCATATCCCATAACTAAGGACTATATACCCTAAAACCCAGCAGGGCCCCTAATATGGCTTACTTGGAGGTTCATGGGCAATTATAAGTGGAGGTATAAGTCCCCTAATACGGGTTATAACTATAGTTAGCCTACATATAACCCTACTTTTAACCACGCATGAACCTCCAAGTAACCCCTAAACCCTAAACCCCTAAACCCTAAACCCTAATCCGTTTATAAGGCATGTTCCAGAACTAGGGGACTCTGGAAGGTCTGGGTGCGTCCTCCCTGGGGCCCCAGCGCCGCTACGGCGGCAAAGCGAGGCTTGGCCGGGGCAAGGGCCGAGAGCTCCTCTGTGTATGATAAAACGAATGTTACCTATAGTCTCCATTGTAGTTCCTTTTTTTGGTTTAACCAATTATATATTAAGGATTTTATAAGCTATCCCCAAAAAACGAACTACAATGGAGACTACATGTAATCTTAACCGTAATATTATTGTTATTATTCGTATTAGTGTCATTAGTGTTGATAATTTATCACTCTTATTATTTGCTTTGTCATTAGTCATTTTTCGCTTCTCTTAGTGTCAGTAGAAGTATTGCTAATTGCCTTTGTTCTTCGTTGGCTTCTTCTCGTCTTTTGTTTGGCTGGTGTTGCCTGCTGGTAGCCTTTTGGTTTTAGACTTTCAGGGCTGCGACTCCCACACTCGCACAAGGCAGGCACGGATTCATGGATCGTTTAGGTTGGTTGGTTGGTTTGGGGTTTGGGGTTTAGGGTTTAGGGTTTAGGGTTTAGGGTTTTAGGGTAAAGGCTGGCTGGCCTGCAAAACACCACGCACCGGAGCGTTGTAGTAGCTACTCTGAACTTTCGCTCAATCATCGCCTCGCATCCCTAGCCTTCAGGAGTTCCTTGCGCGATAACGTGTGGTCAGGGGGCTAGTTTTCGCTTCGAGGCGAGTCATGTGTCGTGAAATATCCGTATCCTCGTCTACGAGTAGCACCCACAGAGCAGTCCTCGTGCCATGCATCCAGCAGCACCTGCATGCAGTCGGAGTTTTTATGACAAAGCAAAGCTGGTCTTTATTGCAGACACATGCATTGAACTTTGGAGGCCTGATATGTGACACTCTGATGTTGGGAATATCTCTTAATGAATAAGTGATCTAGCTCCTCGTCCCAGGACGACGCGGTCCCGCATTAAACTCTAATCCTGAACCCTGCCTTAAACCCGTACACCCCTCAACCGTCTCAAACCCGAAACCTCTGCACGAATACCCGAATTCCTGCTGTGGAGAACCCTCAAGCCGGAAAACACTAGACCCCACGGCACCGCAATGAGCGCTAAAAACCGTCCTCAAACGCAGAACCTTGAAACCCAAATAAAACCTGACCCGGAACTCCTGCAACCTCAATCCCAAAAGTATCAACTCCCAGATATAGAATCCTGCAACTCCCTCCAAGATCTAAAACTTAAAGCCCTCAAACCCACAACCCCCTCTCTCGCTCTCTCTCTCTTTCCCGTCATCCCTACACCCTGATAAAGCCTCCAAGCGCCCAAGACCCTCGAAGCTAAAACCCTATAGACCCTGAAACCCCAAAACCCAATGAAAACCCTCCCATCGAACAATTTCGAACAATTGAAAAACCAAAACCCTCAAAGCCAAATCTCAAAACCCTCAAACCCTAAACCGTAAACTCCCAACAACCCAGGGCCGCACCAGCAACCGCCGCAAAGCAGCCGGCGAGGCTTTCGCCTTTAGCGATGCAGGAAGCCTTGGACGGAGAATGCCGCGATTCTCTGGGGCTGAGGGGTTTAATTATAGTAAGCGTATTTAGGTTTATAGGGTTGAGGGTGTAATTATAGTCTTATTTAGGTTTGAAAGTTTGACGATTTCAATTTTCGGGATGTATAGGCTTGTAAGGTTGCTTCAAAGTTAGGGTGTTCTTTGAGCTAGGGTTTCGGGCTTATGTCTTATGTAAGGCACCCAGGGTTTAGGGCTTACTTTGGATTTAGGGTATAGCAACGAAACTCAAACTAAAACCTCATCCTCAAAGCCACAGGGCTCATCATCAAAGAGAGGGCTACCCTCAGACGTACAACCTGCAGGGCCATAGCGAGACAAAAGTCTTACCCATAGGCCCCATAGTAGGTCATTTTGGGATTACCTTATGAGATTCTAAATATGAAGCCCAGAAAGGAACTACTATGGGGCCTATGGGTAGCCTGCATGCTGCAAGGGCAGGCCAGACCAGGAATTCACGGCCTTTTCTCGTGCGCCAAAGACCGGTACGAGCAGAATCTGCTGAGCGAAAGCTCCTGGAAAGTCGGTCTTCAAAGATCTTCAAAGGGTCTCTCCGCAGTCTGAAAGAAAGCAAGTTGCGCAGTCCGTGCCCAAGCACAAGCGCCCACGAAATCTATGCACACGACTCAGAACCTGCCGAAGCATCCACAGCAAAGCGGAGGGATTTCCTTCTTACTAGTTCTGGACCCTTCGAAGCCGACCTCGTCTGACCATCTCCCTCATCGAATCCGAACACTATAGCATACACTAAATGTCCACTCTACAAAGCGTCTTTTCCGAACTTGAAATCTCAGATCAACCTTGCTGGCTGGAGATGCTTTCATGCCACTGGCTCGGCTCAATCCGCTGCCTTGCTAGGTGCGGGCTCACTGGAGTCTGAGCTGCAGCTTCCTCCGATGAGGGCCGAGGCTGCGTCTCCGAGGACAGTCTCGACCTTTTTGTCTTGCAGCATGGGCTTGGATTGTGTGCCAGCGAACACTCCTCAAGAAAACCCCAAACCCTACCAAATAGTATAGGTTACCTCTTCCTCCAGTACTCGAAGCATTAGGTTTTTGGATCCCCAGGGACGCCATCGAAGATGTTGGAGAGATGCTCCGCAGCCGTCTCTAAGCTGCCCGTGGCCGCGGTCAAACTGGAAGCCAAGGTGTTGTCAATGGCCTCCAATGTCTCCGACACCTGACAGTTTCACAAAAAATACAGTAGAGTTGCCTATTTTCAGATCCTACTACTCTTTAGGGTCTATACTCGGAACCTTTCTTTAAGAAACCTCCCACCTGCTCTGCCGCGTCTCCCAGGGAGCTTCCGTTCTCTTGCTCGTTGATCACCAAGCTTCGGCCGTCGAAGGCATTGCCCAACTCCTAGCGGCTCATACCCTGCTCAGTTGAGGGCTTGGGCCTTCGGTTACCTAGCTTTATGGCTTATCTGTTATGTGGGCAGCTCTCTAAATTGGGGTCCCTTTGCGGGTCCTTCTTGTAAGGGGCCCTAAGAAGGGACCCGAATTTCGAGAACTACACATACTGCAAACAGGAAAGGGGTAGGGTATGACCCCGTAGGCTCCTGCTGCAAGCCGGCCGCGGATAGGATCGTGATCATGTCGAGCATGCTGATGGCAGGACGACGCCGACGAAAGCCAGAGAGACAGGGAGCTTGAGCCACTACACGCCTGTAAGCCAACATGGCATTGTTTAGGGGTTTGGGGTTATGAAGTTTTGGGATGTGGGTATGGGTCTTATCGATTTTGGACTACGCGTTGTAGGAGATGTTTAGGGTTTGGGGTTGAACGGACTTAGAGTCTTCTGGGATGCTGGGTTTAAGTTCAAGCTTTCGGGATGTCGGGGCCAAGAAACTCCGGTCTAAGGCCTTCTATTGTTGATGATCTAAATCCTGCATTACCTTGTTGATGATCTAAATCCTGCATTACCTCAAGGACCCTAAAACTGTGACAACTATGTTGTATTCCTTATTCAAAGTAATGCAGGATTTGTATCATCAACCGTAGGGTTACCGATTTTGCACATGTGCTCTCTGCCGAGGGCCCAGCACCTGCTGGCTCTTGACATGGTCGGCCACAGAGCCTGTCTGTTTAGGGTTTTGGGGTTTAAGGGTTTAGGGGTTTAGGGTTTAGGGTTTAGGGTTTAGGGTTTAGGGTTTAAGGGTTTAAGGGTTTAGGGGTTTAGGGTTTAAGGTTTAGAGGAGCTTGGTGGTTGAGGCTTTATGGGTGGGGTTTAAGGGTTTAGGGATTTAGGGGTTTTGGGGGTTTAGGGTTTAGCGTTTAAGGTTCAGGGCTTAGAATTTAGGGCAAGAATGTGAGGTTTAGGGTTTAGGGGTTTAGGGTGAGCTCAAAAGCTGCATACAGATCTGTAGAATATGTGTAAGTACATGCATGTGTCTGCATATAGAATATTCCTTCTAGCGTTTGATCATGTATTTAACTATCTGCCTATTTGCAAATTATTCGTTTGCATGTCAATGCGAAACAGAGGAATGGACCATAGTTGGTAACAGCCCCGGCCCCAAACTCATGTTCGGTGAACGGCTGCCGTGTTCTTCCGTTTGAAGGCCCTTTCAGCAGTCGTCCAGAAATGACTCTTTACCTCCAGACGTTCTCTTAACTGAGGTGAATCACCCCTAAACCCCCCCTTGGGATTTAGGGGTTCAGGGGTTTAGGGTTAGGGTTTAGGGTTTAGGGGTTTTGGGGGTTTAGGGGTCCCTGAACCCCTAAACCTCAAACATCCTTAGACCCTAAACTCTCCACGGTGACATAAGGGCATTTACCGGCTCACGAGCGACTGGACCTGTAAGGACTTCCTAGGAAAACTTTTCAAGCAGGCATGCATAGGCATGCTCTGCAATCACCAAAAAAAAGCCGTCCCTGAACTCTTTTGCATCCAGGCCTATTGCGACTGCCTGAACCCTAAACCCTAAACCCTAAACCCTAAACCCTAAACCCTAAACCCTAAACCCTAAACCCTAAACCTGAACTCAGACAGGCCAGGATCCCGGCGCAGTTCCGCTTCGGGCATCTCCTGCGACAGCTGAGCCCGTAATTTCGCTTAGCAAAAAAAGGGGCCCTCGACGAAAAATCTATGCCATGAACGTGCCACGGTCTAGGGTTTAGTGTTTAGGGGTTCGTGTTATAAAGAGAACATCCAGCGGATTCGAGACCCCGAATTTTGAGAGATGCAGCTGGATGCGATTGCAGCAAGAAAATGCCCCCATCAAAGTCCAGCAAGTTCGCGACAGCGCGCATCTCGGACACGTCAATCTCTTCAAGAGACCTAGCACGAGATGCTCGCCTCAATTTCACCCAGTCACCCAACCTTACCTCCTTCCAACCGCCCGTCAGACGCACGACAAATTGCGTTCCTACACTCACCGCACCTCTTCTCTCCGTCGGAACTTCCGAAATGAAAGGGTCCTTCTTGATAGTTCTTTACAGTACTGCGGACCCTTCTCTTTCAGGCTCCATCACGGGCCCCCTCAAGATCTGAAGCTCCTACACATTCCCCAAAACAGCTTCAATCTTCAACTTCAGAGTGCGAGGAGGTCAGGTTGAAATAACGAGAGGCTTCTCAACTTATCAAACACACAGCACACAACAAAATAAAACCAGCAAACAAAACAACCTCAGCAAAGTAACAAACTTACTCCGATTAGATGCTTTTGTGCCTAGACTCAAATCTTATCCATAAATCCTGAACCCTAAACCTGAAGCACGAGACTTTATACCCTCAACCTGCCCCAACCTTGGATGCACAGATATTGGAAAACTGAAAGTTGCATGTGTTAGCAAGGGTTTCGACAAGTTGCGGCCCATGTGGTGGTATATGAACATACATATGATAAGACAGTAGCGCAGGTGTGTATGTTTCATACACACAAAGGCCTTTCTATCATATGCGTGAGCATTCACATAAGGGATCATAAGTGCATGCATGCTATATGTACGAGTACGTACAGTAGGTAGGCAGGCAGGCAGCGTGAGGGTTCGGCTGCAGCCCAGACATGTCTGTAAGGCAGCATACTAAAACCAAGGGTTTCAGGGGTTGAGTTTCAATGTTTTAAGTAATTTTAAGCGCTGCTCTACTGGTGTCTTTCAAGAGTTTTTGGTTTACTAGGTTCAGGGTTGATCTCGGGCTTAATGCAGGGCACGTAGCTAAATACACCTTGCCCTGAAACCCAAACCCGAAGGACCTAAATTTGTTGAGGAGTCATTTCATTCATCGTTTCATATGGGAACCTTAATCCCGAACTACACCCAACAGGATTTTAATTTAGCCAATGGCACCAAGTAATGCTTGAATCTTGCAACCCACATTTGTTGGATTTCTGTTTCTGACTTCCAGGTTCTATTGTTAGATTAAGTCTTTAGTGACTTTAATTGTTTGGGACACCTGGCGCGCAGCAGCGCCACCGGCGGCAGGTCTCCTCCCAGCCCATCCTGGGATTCGAATTGTTTGTGAAAAAACAACAATCGTAAATAAAATCCTCTTCGCCAGCACCCCCCAAGGGCCCTCTAATAGAGACCTTGTGGCCCTGAATAGTGGGTATTCGGGGTATGATAGAGGGTAGTTGGGGGGTCTAGGAGGCCCTAGGCCCAAACAGGGAACTACAACATGTCCCAAAAGCCTACCGTTTGTTTTTTGCTCTTCAGCCTTACAGCGACAAATGACTGCAGGATTGCTTCGCTACGGTTTCACAGACAGCGCAAGAGATCCCTTGATGCAAGTACGGGGTCTTGAAGAGTCGATGTTGCTACAAGGCTTGCGTGCACGTGTTTAGGATATAACATAGGCCTTGAATGCTGAGAACAAGATTTACTCAGTTGGTCGCGAACCTATTAAACAAGCGATGGCACGATGCTTGATTGATGTCGGATCACATCGTGTGCGCTGCACCTGGCACTACCTCATCATCACCTACGACCTCATGTTACGAGTACATGCTGAAGCCACGCACCTGTGATGCAAGATGTCCCGTCAAGCACATGCCGGCTTGTTGCTGCGGTTTGTCTTGCTAAGCATAGTACCTCAAACAATCAATTCCAAAATCTTCCATGCTCGCCCCATTCGGAGTCAGAGGTATGTGCAAAACGAGCCACTGCTTGCTCACCGCGCTCCAGAAACAGGAACCTCTCAATTCAACTGATCTCGTGCTCAGGCCGCAAACGACCACTCCAAGCAGATATGCCCTCTTTCGTAAGTTTAAGATTTAAAAACATGTCAAGAAACTCTGCAAAAACACGGGCCCCGGCTTCAGCAGCACGCTGCGAAGCTCAACCGCCGTCGTAACCTCCGGTGGGACGACCATGGCCTGGGCAACTGATGACCGGAAATTGAACGGTTTAGGGTTGAGGGTTTAGGATTTAGGGTTTAGGGTTGAGGGTTTAGGATTTAGGGTTTAGGTTCTAGGGTTAGGGATCCCGTCCACTTCTTCGCCGAGCTCCATCTTGACCACCATATATCTAATTAACAAATACGCCGTGCATGTCAGTCCGGATTCCAATCTGACGGGTGCTCGGCGTTGCATGTCAATCTTGCATTCCGCCATCACGCCGGGGTTGTTGAACTGTTTGGATTTCGTTTCCAGACAGCAAAATGCATTCACGGACAAACTGCATAAACAACAAACACCTCCACCACCGTCACTGTCAGCACTCAACTACGCGTGGCCTCGATGTGCACATCGCCCAGCCGCTGGTTGCAGTTAATGATGCTGTATCGGCGGAGCGGCCGGAGCAACAAAGCTGTGCAAACAAACTTCAAAAGCCCACCTGCAAAGATATGCACGCACTTTATCTTCACATGCTCCCAAGTCAAGCATTGCGCTTGGTCTGGCTGATTTCAGTAACGAGATGTCTGAGGCTCTTTTTCGTGTATGATGCCAAGATTTACTGTTTACGCCACGACCAGACGAATGCATGGGCAGTCAACTCCAACCACATCGATGCCTGCTGCCCACGTGGTGGCACAACCCCTTCTTTTCTGAGGGGCGCACAAGAGGTGTGAGCAGGTCCATGGAGGACGAATCCAACGCGAAACCAAAATTGAAGATCTGCTGCTCCTGGCATCGCAGCATGCTCTTTGCAAATCTCCCAGCACATCGACACACCGATGAAAACTCAATTCTGCCCAGATCGTGGGCATGATGATCATCCGATGTTAACTTGGATGCTGTTCTGGTGGAGTCCTGGCTTTGCTGGCCGTAGCTGATCGTCACTGCTTCGCCGGCCTCGACGTGTCGGCCAAGGTAATTGACCCTGTTCATATGTATATATATATATGTATAATGTGTGTATATATGAAAATATATACATCTATAAATAAATACACACACACATATGTATATATACACACATTATACAGATACGTTAGCAACCAAATTGACGGAATCTACCAATAAACGTTGACCTGACATCCCAAGCGCCTGCAAGTCGCGTGCAGCCACCAGTTCGATGGAATCATCCGTGCCGACCCGACATCGGGCCGTGGGATCCTTGTGCCAAGCACGCAATATGGATCAATATAGGACCTTCGCAAGTTGCAGCTGGAGATGACTACACACATGAAATCTAGGTGTCATGTATACATCGGACATTTCCAAGAACCTGGCTGCAGAACAATTCGCGAAATCCACCAGCCTTGGGTTGCAGCGGTTCAGGAAACGCGTATCGTCCATAAGAACTGTTGGTGGACGAAGCTGTGCGAGCAGATTCGTGAAAGGCAAGGCACGGCACAATGCCTTGCATCGCTTCAGCTTCCTCGCCGCAGGGCAAGTCGGCAACAACTCACAATTACTGGATGCTTCTAGATGTCCACGTGCTCCGTGGATGGCTCCTCACCGGTCGAGGCAGAAAAGCATGGGCCAGCCCTGACGGAGATCAGCGGCAAAATGCATCAACCGCGACTCATGCTGTTTGAGTGGAAGTTCGTCTTCGTCGCTACCACCTTGTAAAACCACATTGGCATGCGATTCGTTTCCCAGCCTCAGCTGCATGACCCAAAACACATTCCCAAAATGCTATACTATGAAGCATGCGCAGAAATTGTCTCGGAAATCGCGGTGCAAGGCCTGGTGAGCAAGGCCGCCTTCGCCCAGCGCAGGCGGTCGATGCTCCACGGCGCGGTCAACTGCGGTAAATGTTCCAGAGCCACCTGGCACATCTGGCACATGGAAATTCGCGACGGTTTTCTTGGGATGGACTTGCGCTAGCAGGCTGCCGACGGCTGCATTGTTACAATCATGTCAGCATGATGCACAAAGAGACACACACGGAACTTGCAAAGCCACGGACAAAAAGACTTGCGCTTCAAATGCAGCAATTTGCTCATGCCGTGCCTTCTGCTCCTCCTCAAGCTGCCCATTTTGCGCAGCCAATGCCAGAAGCAGGGATGAACCCCGCAAGTGTAAGTCCACATCCTCCTAACCAAGTTGCACTTTGAACTCTGTAACAAAAAGATTAAAGAATACCACGCCTCCGAAAAAGTTAGCGGAACCATCGGGAAGTCGGCGGGGATCGAAAGAAGATATTCCTTCAGTCCCAACAAATCTTCGCCTCGGTGGACTGTGGAATCAAAGCTTCCGCATGCATACGGATCGTGCAAAACTCATTACACTCGCCGATGCTTGCTAAACATGCACTGAGCAACAAACCCTTCTCGGCAGCCCGCCTGGCCTCGCAACAGGAGGACGTCTGGGAAAAACAACGAACACAACATTCCCTCTTTTGTTCAACAGCACCAACGGCATGTCGCCTCTGCAAGCAGTGCCAGAAGGGCCACGTCTGGCGCCAAATCATGGCAACCGAGCACACGTTGCCTCAAAGTAGTCTACTGCGACCACGCGGCAAATACATTCTCCAAACGTTCGAACCAAGCGTCGCCATGGTGCCGGACAATACGGCAGACCGGGGTACCTGGCAAAACTATGACATGACATGTAGGCGGCGCGGCCCACTGCTGGAAAGAAAGCCCTGAGATGCGGACCCGCAGCAACACTGAACCGGCGCCGACAGGGCTGGTGATCACCAACCCAGCACCTGCAAGAAAGGTGCGGTCATTCGGTTGTGGGGATAGCGGTGCGTGGTCATCTTGGCCCCGGGCCTGCTACACCTTGGTGCTGCCGGCGCAAGGATGGGTGTGCAAAAACACCGGCCGCCTGCTGCAGGCATGACTTTGCACACAGCACAACATCCAACGGGCGAGTAACATGTGGGGGAATTTGCAGGTTTTATACAGGACCCGATTGATGCTTGTGCCACAGCGCCGGGAACATGGAACCAAGGCACGCTGCAACACGCAGGCTATAGACCCCGCCTCCCCCCCTCCCGGGCAGCGTTCAGCATGCAACCGCCTCAACCGCAACGGCGACCTGGACCGCCACGGCAAGGGCTCCCCACCCAGTGTTTTGCACATACCCAGCTAGGCTGCAGCACACCGCGAGGCGCGTTGAAGAGCTCGAAAGAAGAGCAAGTCGCGGACGAAACCTGCGAAACCTTGTCCACCAACAATTTGACCGGATCGCCCTGAGTTTGCCCATTCTCAGACGGGCCAATTTGATGTGGATGTTGACATGGTGGTTGTGGTGCCAACGGTGTAAGCCTGCGCCGTCAGCACATTATTCAGGAGTATCAGCATGTCTCAGCGCAGCCCCTCTTCACGAGCCTGCGGGATAGCTCAGACATGCTCAGACGGCGTTTGCTTCGTTCAGGATCGTTCACGGTGTTTGTGAGGAAAACAGTCTTCGGAAGTCACATACGAAGGAAGCCAACCATGGCATTTTCTTGCAAGCGCCAAATCGCACTGCGCGCCTCGTCCTTGTCCCGTGTCAAGACTTTAGCAAATATGTCCTCCATTGGTCGGTCGTTTCTGTGTTACGCGAACTGTGACAGTGAAAGGCCACCGAAATAAGTCCGGGGCCAAGGGGTTCGTATGGGGCTTGCAATAAGCTTCCTCTCGCGGAAGTGTGTGGCCCCGCTTGACCTCCCCTTGATTTTTCTACGGTTTCAAGCATATTGGATGGCACTCTGAAGTAT